ACAGGCAGGTTCGTTCTGACTTCGCCGATTCTATATAACCTTCTTTTCATGAGTACAATGACCTTCTTTCCTTGGTGAGATTAGATTATACGGTGGTGACGTCGTCCGTTTTCTTCTGCATCATCTACCTGAGCAACGGGTGCTGTCCATGTCGCCTGTGTCACAATGTCCATTCATAAACTTGGCAAACTACTGTCGAGCAGTCTCAACAGTTATGGTATCACCCTTCGTACAAGATGCAAATGTCCTGAAAAATTTGTCAGAATGATAGCTGATCACTGAGGGCAGGAACGCGTTCATAACCTGGAGCAAACCTTATTCAAATTGTGCTCCCGTAGTGATTTCTCATAACATTTTCTTTTCGAGGGTTATTCTTAGTCAAGGTGCGGCACCATTATAGTTTTGCCACTTCACGCCCGAATAAATGCTCCCTCCCCGACAATCGTAGGAGGTGGGAGTGCTCAGGACGACTTTCGCTCCAATCATTAGAGAAATTGGTGTCATCCAAATGCGCACCACAGCATAAAGGCTTCATTGGATTACATGTACTCCCGTGGTGAAGCTCCCAAAATAGTCCTGCTTAATTTAGGGAGATCGACCAAATCAAGGACAACAAGGAGAAGCCGGCGTAGTGAATGGTGAAGTAGACGGTGACCTTCAGGCTGCACCAGGTATTGAAGTACGAGGCGAGATTCGCGTTCTGGCGCAAACGGTGGGTATTTGAGAGTTGTTGTGAGGAAGGAAAAATAGATACTTTAAAGCTGTTTTGTTATGATAACTGCTGTTTAACGCCGCAGTACGCGTTCCGAATGTTATCACAAGAATGCTGAGTTATGGGCAAAAGTCGTGCCCCAGGCGGGAGTCGAACAAAACAGCTTCAAAAACTTGTAAAGCCTTCGGCCTTGCGGTTCCATGCCGATATCTAACGATTACGGCTGACCGGCTCACCAAGTTAAACGTGTGAGTGCTGTAAGGCTACGGCATAAAAGCCGTTAAGCTGAGAGGGTAAAAGCGGCCCTGGTGGCGTAACGGATAGCGCACTCGCCCGGAAAGCGTGAGGTGCGGGTTCGACTCCCGCCTGGGGCACGACTTTTGCCCACAACTCAGCATTCTTGTAATATAGACTTTACTTTTTTGCTTGCTTCCTGTAAATCTGTTCTCGAAAATTCGGAGAATTTCGAGTTGTTTCTCTTTTTCAGGTAGTTATTTCCGACATTTCGTTCATAAATGAATCTTTCCGTGTCCATACCGAAATTACTGCCCTTCCTCTTTCATCGGATTTGAGGAATATTCATTTACACCTTGGCTCATGTAAGATGCATTTTCTGGAGTTGCAAGAGCTTCCCACTGCATTTTCCGTTCCAGGTGCTTTGCTGCCACGTGAATTGGGAGGCCACGGTAGGATAACTATCAATGGTGCAGACTGTGATTACTCGCGTTTGACGCAACCGACGGTGTGGAAATAATTCTTTTTTCACATTTTTCACAGTTGGGAATTAACAGCACGTTTTAGCTTGCTGCACAAAGTCCCAACCTTTCGATCATGGAAACTCTCCCACAGTACTATAACTCGATTAACGAAAAAGACGGTAGCGTTTATGCTTACGATTCTGTCTTACTCCTGATATTGTTTGTACTGCAGCATTTCTTCAAATAACAATACCTGATGCCCTTCGTCTCACCATCCAGCTGTTGAAGTGCATTACAATCGCAGTTGATGTGGTTGTAGAGAAGCCTACTCAAGTCAGCCCAATCTGAATTTTTCTTCGCTTGGTGAAAATCTTTCAAAATACAAGAAGCTTCGAATTCCAGGGCATAAAGTTCGTCTATAATATTGCACCGGACGGAACCCTTGATAAAGGAGCTCACGTCTTTACCTACAGGAGCTCCTTGTTGACAAGTACGACTTGCTTACAATTTGAATGTTGTGTGCCATCTACCTTTGCTGCTCCATTTTTCGAAATCTGTGCCAGGTTCAAGTCTAAGTTTTCTGAGGGATGGCTTTAGCCGGCAATTTCACCCCAGGAAGCGGCTTGATTCCTTGAGGCTGCAGTCCACGCTTTGAAGGTCACCTTAAAAATGCTGAGTTATGGGTGGAATTCTTGACCCGGGCGAGACTTGACGCGCACCCCACGCTTAGGCGCTAATTGCGCCACCAGTACGTACGTACCGCTCTTATCTTCTCCTCAAAGCCATGGCACAAAACGCCTACGTTTAGCGTAGAAGTGAATGGTAGGTGGGAGAAGTATTCCCTTCGTCACGAACACCTCGCTTCTTTGTAAGGTACTTTCGAGCCGCCAAGGTAGTACACCCGTTGTGCTTCCAGAACTCCTCGGAAAGGTATCTGCATATTAGGAAAATGCGGGATGTGCCTTCAACGTAGAAAAGGCTCAGCACTCGTGCCGCAGCCAGGGAAATTAGTCTTTACCTCTGGAGCCCATAGCACGGGCGCCAGAAGTTCTGTGATATTCAGGTTCAAGGAAATAGACAAAGTTATCCTTGAAGCAGAATGTCGGAAAAATCTGAAAGAAAGGAAAATCATGTCATCATCATGGCATGAATTTCGAGAAGGGCAACAGTGAATGGTGTTTTGTGTCGGCAGCTCGCCAGCATCAGGGACAGATCTCCAGTTTTTAGGCACTCGTGAGTGGCTCCCATGTGTTGATGCTCCTGATCAGCTTGCACTTTGGCGTCTGCACATCACTTGTGACAGCTGGCTTACTGCAGTGGCCAGTGGAGACCTGGTGGTAAGTTTATCCCGATAATTCAATTTGTTACG